CAGTTTAGAGAAATGAGTTTATTCACCAAAGGGACTGGCCTCCTGGGTCTGAGGGAAGAGGGGCTGGGATCAGGATTCCTGGGTCTGAGGGAGGAGGGGCTGGGGGTTAGGACTCTTGGGTCTGAGGGAGGAGGGGCTGGGGGTCAGGACTCCTGGGTCTGAGGGAGGAGGGGGCTGGGGGTCAGGACTCCTGGGTCTGAGGGAGGAGGGGGCTGGGGGTCAGGACTCCTGGGTCTGAGGGAGGAGGGGCTGGGGGTCAGGACTCCTGGGTCTGAGGGAGGAGGGGCTGGGGGTCAGGACTCCTGGGTCTGAGGGAGGAGGGGCTGGGAACCCTAAATCCTGGTCTGGGGTGAAGGGGCCTGAGGATCAGGACTCCTGGGTCTGAGGGAGGAGGGAACTGGGGGTCAGGATTCCTGGGTCTGAGGGAGGAGGCCTTTGGGAAGGAAGAGCACCTTGCCCCTGAAGCAGGACACTCAAGCCCCTGAGAAATGCCACATGCTCTGAGCCCGGAGGCTTTCTGTTCAGCTAAGGTGTGTGAGGGTCTGTCCACCTTTCCCCATTTCCCTGTGGCCCGTCCCCTGGGGGCTCACAATACGTTTTGTCCCCACTGTCCTGGGCCCCGAGCCCAGAATCCAGGCTGGTCTAAGTTTGGAAGGGGGAGGGGGGGCAGCAGGTCAGGGAGTGTGGGGGGCAGGGTGTCTCCGTGTCTGAAGTGTCACACACATGTGGAGAAAGGGAGGGACAAAAGGCTCCCAGAAACAGGAACAAAGAGTGAGAGGTGAGAGGCAGAGATACAGAGAGGGAGTAGAGACAGTCAGACAGCCAGAGAGGAACAGGGAGGAAGAGCCTGGGACACCTGCAGGCAGCCTGCACTGGCCACTCAGTATGGGGAGAGCGGTCTAGAACCAAAAGGGCAGGACCTAATATTTGACAGCTAGATCAGGGAGTAAGACAGAAACAGGAAGAGTGGAGTGAGGAGAGAGACAGACTGACTTGTAGAAGAAGAGAGGCAGATGTAACAAAGATCCAGAGGGAGAGAGGGACAGATACCCAGTGAGAAGGGGACAGAGACTCAGAGAGAGGGGGACAGAGACTCAGAGAGAGGGGGGCAGAGACCAAGAGAAAAAGGAGAGAACAGAGAACCAGAGAGAGAGGGACAGATACCCAGTGAGAAGGGGACAGAGACTCAGAGAGAGGAGGACAGAGACCAAGAGAGAAAGGAGAGAACAGAGACCCAGAGAGAGGGGGACAGAGACTCAGAGAGAGGGGGACAGAGACTCAGAGAGAGGGGGACAGAGACTCAGAGAGAGGGGGACAGAGACTGAGAGAGAAGGGGACAGAGACTCAGAGAGAGGGGGACAGAGACTCAGAGAGAGGGGGACAGAGACTCAGAGAAAGAGGGACAGAGACTGAGAGAGAAGGGGACAGAAACCCAGAGAGAGGGGACAGAGACCCAGAGAAACGGAGGCAGAAACTCAGAGAAAGAGGGACAGAGACTGAGAGAGAAGGGGACAGAGACTGAGAGAGAAGGGGACAGAGACTGAGAGAGAAGGGGACAGAGACTCAGAGGGAAGGGGACAGAGATTGAGGGAGGGGGGACAGAGACCCAGAGAGGGGGGACAGAGATCCAGAGAGAGGGGGACAGAGACCCAGAGAGAGAGAGAGAGAGAGACTCCTCCAGGAGAGACAGAGAGAGGCTAGAGAGAGGTAAGAGGGAGCAAAAGCAATCAGGAGGAGAAAACACACAGAAACTCAGGGGGTGACATAAGGGGAGAGGAGTCCAGAGAGAGTTCACACTGGGCAGATTCAGACAAATCCGGAGGAAGACAAAGGCAGACCTTCCCAAGGAACGCCAGGCTTTGGTTCTGCTGAATAAGGGTCTTGGGACAGGGCACAGTGGGGCTTGGGTGAGCTGATTGCTCTTTGGGGACACCCAGACAAAGGGTTCCTGCCCAGGCAACCCAGAGATGGAGCTCAGGGATCCCAAGACCCCAGAGGATGGGGACACAGAGGTGAGAAACGGGAGACAAGGGAAGAAGACAGAGGCAAGTGGATGGGGCAGAGCCAGATGAAGTCAGAGATGGAGAGCTGGAGGGTAAAAAGGGGGAGCAAAAGGCAGAGCTTGAGAGAGGCCTCAGAGATCCAGATAAAGAAAGACCCTACAAGACACAGCAAGACGGAACCTCCAGAGAACAAAAAGCAAAGGGGCCAAGGAGAAGGGTGGTGGGGGGCTGTGTGGGCTGAAGTCAGGCTCCCAGAGATGGTGGCAGGCGGGGTCTCGGAAACAATCACACTTCGCCTTGCCAGGACCCAATAACAGGTGTCCCCAAGGCCCGATGAGTCATCGTGACTCACCAGTCTCTCTTGAGACCGTGACCCCTCCTCCCCTGCCCCCACCGCAGCCCCTGCTAGACCTCCAACTCCCACCTCTCTGCTGTCTTCCCATCCCTCTGCCCCCAGTGGGACCTGAGACACGCCCCCTCCCTGCTTTTGTCTCTGTCACACAGGAAGACACAGCCACGACCCTGCAGCGCTTTGTGGAGTTGACAGCCACCAGGGTGACCCCAGTGCGGAGTCTTCGCATTCCATATCGTCTCATCCGAAAGCTGGGTTCTGGCTCCTATGGCCGCGTGCTCCTTGCCCGGTCTCGTCGAGGTGGTGAGTTGGGCCACTAAAGGGCGGACTCCCAAATGTCCCCATGATAGCAGTTGTAGGAAGTCACTGAGATGGGGTACACAGTCCCCCAGAACCCTTCTCAATAGTGACTCTCTCAGAAAGTTCAAAACTTGGTGGTCTTCCAAGAAATGGAGCTCACCCCCAGAGGGGTGACTTGTCTAAGGGCACACAGCCCATGTCCCCTTTCTTCATGCAAAAGGAAACAGAGGTTCAGAGAGGGTAAGGCTATCGTACAAAACCACACAGCAGGGCAAATCTCCTCCAGCCCCCAATTCACAGCTGGGAAACTGGGGCTACACGGAGATCACAGGACCCAGGTCCCATCACTGGACTCCAGCCAATGACTTCTCCGTGATCCTGTGCCTACCCTCTTCCTTTACACACAAGAAGTGTGAGACTCAGAGAGGTCGAATGGTTTGCCTAACATCCCACAGCAATCCGAGTACCCTACTCTGGTTCCCTGGCAGGTCCCTTGGTGGCTCTAAAGCTCCTGCGCCGGGACTCGGTCTTGAGAACCACCTTCCTGAGAGAGTTCTGCGTGGGCCGCTGCGTCTCCTCACACCCAGGCCTGCTCCAGACCCTGGCGGGTCCCCTGCAAACCTCCCGATATTTTGCTTTCACCCAGGAGTATGCACCTTGTGGAGATCTCAGCGGGATGCTCCAGGAGAGGGTGAGGCAGATGGGAGACAAAGGTTGGGACTGTTGTCCCCAGTTCCAACTCTGTCCCAAACTTCTATCTCTAACCTGGACCCATCCCAGGTCCACCCTGAGCTCCAGATGTCCTCTCTAGTGCCAATTCTAAAATCCATGCCTGACCCCAATCCAAACACAAATGTCACAGAAGCGGGATGGGTAAAGAGTTAAGGATGTTGGAGTTGAGGATGGAGACAGAGTTGGGATTATAGTTAACAACTAAAATTGGGGATGTGGTTGTGGATGGAGTTGGGTGGGTTGTGTTTGCGGTAGATGATAAATTGTGTAAATCCTGATGTGGTGCTGTTGGATAAATGGTTCAGAGTCCACTCTTCAGAAACCCTGTACAGGGTCATCATGAGTCGGAACTGACTCCACGACACTTGACAACAACAACAGTGGGTAAAGAAAAAGGGCTTGGACTAGGACCACAGAGGTAGAGATGGTTTTGATGGAATTGGCGATATGTAATGATTAGGTTGGAGACCAGGTCAGGTCTGACCTGAGATTGTAGATGGAGTTGAATTTTAAGATTAGTTGGGCCATCATTAGAGATGGACTTTGGATTTGAGGTAGAGTTGGGGATAAATGGATGGAAGGATTGATGGATGGGTGGATAGATGAATAGGGGGAAAGAAGAAAGTGTGGCTAGATGAGTAGATTGATGGACCAATGAGTGGATGGGCTTGAATGGAGGAATGCAAGGACAGATGGATGGATGGATGCAACAAATGGTATATGGAAGGATGAATGGCTGGATGGATGGATAAATGAGTGGACAGATGTATGGAAACAAGGCTGGATGAGTGAATGGATGGGTAGAAGATAAGGTGGATAGAAGAAAGGAAGGATGGGTGGATATAAGGATTGATAAATGGATGGTAGATAATATGAATGAAAGAAAAGAGAATGGGTAGATGGGTGGATGAAAGAATGGGTAGATAAATAAAGGGATGCATGGATCAATGTAGAGAAGGATGAATGGATGGAAACAAGAATGGAAGGATGGGTAGAGAAAAGGAAGGAGGGGTCAGTGTTGGATATTAAATAATTGAGAAATCAATGGATTGCTGACTAGCCGGTCAAATGGATGCTGAGTGTATGTATTGGTGTGTAGACCGATGAATGGGTGACTAGTTTAATGGGTAGATAGCTGGACAGATCAACTGACTACCTAAGTTGGAAGGACTCTAGAACAGGCTCTGAGTAAGAGATGAGATCTAGGTAAATATGAGACTAAGATGAGGGCAAAATATAGGATTTGGGTTTCCATTGAAGATCTGGTTGGCCAATTTAGCGGAGGCATATAAGAAATGTTAGGAGTGGTCTAAGTATTAAGGTTCGGAGAGTGAGAGAAAACTGAAAGAGACTTCTGGTTAAAATTGGGCTTCAGGTTGGGAAAGTGTCTGGGAGTTGGTGAAGGGGAGCACAGATATGTGTGCAGATTGTAGGTTTAGATTATCTAGAGGTCTTGGGGGCTTATGAAGGTAGCCACTGATCTGGGATTCTGGATTCTGGGACCCCAGAAGCCACAATCCTTAGGAACTTGGAAGTCTAGGGACTCTTTGGAGGGAGATAAAAAGCAAAAATAAAAAAGGAAGCAAAGCACCCTGAGCATGACCCCCTCCTTGGTTCCAGGGTCTCCCGGAGCTATTGTTGAAGCGGGTGATAGCCCAGTTGGCCGAAGCGTTGGATTTTCTCCATGGTCGGGGACTGGTTCATGCAGACGTCAAGCCAGACAACGTCTTGGTCTTCGATCCCCTCTGTAGCCGTGTGGCCCTGGGGGACTTGGGTCTGACCCGGCCAGAGGGTAGCCCAACCCCTGCCCCACCGGGTCCACTGCCGTCTGCACCTCCGGAGCTCTGCCTTCTCCTGCCCCCTGACACCCTGCCCCTGAGACCAGCCCTGGATTCCTGGGGTCTAGGGGTGCTTCTCTTCTGTGCTGCCACCGCCTGTTTCCCTTGGGATGTGGCACTGGCCCCTGACCCTGAGTTTGAGGCCTTTGCTGGTTGGGTGACCACCAGGCCTCAACCACCTCGGCCACCACCACCCTGGGACCAGTTTGCACCCCCAGCTCTGGTGTTGCTCCAGGGGCTTCTGGACCTGAACCCTGAGACAAGGAGCCCCCCACTGGCTGTTCTGGACTTCCTGGGGGAGGACTGGGGGCTGGGGGGGAATAAAGAGGGACCTGGGGGCTTGAGGATTCTGTCCAGTGAGGATGGGGAGGAGGAGGAGGGAGGATCCAGCTTGGAGGAGTGGACGGATGAGGAGGACAGCAAAAGTGATGGGAGGAAGGGGACAGATGAGGGAACTCCTTAATCAGGGGACTGAGACAGGTGGCTGGAGCCTAGCCCAAAGGCCCCTCCCCCACCCCATGGCCACCTGGATGAGAGAGACAGCTGCTCAGGGAGGACAGAGGGTCACATTGGACCTCTCCCTATGGAGAGCTGGGTACTGGTGTACAATTCCCCTTCTAATGGAAGGACCCTGGAATCTAGCCCCCAGCCCCTTCTCCCTCAGACTCATGAGTCCTGATCCCTGAACTCTACCTCCCTCAGACTGAAGAGTTCTGACCGCCCTCCCTCAGCCCAGGAGTCAGAATCAGCCTCCCTCAAGGACAAGTCCTCTTCTATCTGTCCTGAGAGCATCTTTGTGAAAGGACACTCTACTCCCCACCTCCTCCCACTGAGAAGTCTTGGTTCTATGGGGACATGCAGATGGCTTATCATGAAGTTCTGATGGGGTCACTCCTCTCCTCTCAGATCCCGGTTGGCTCCCACTGTCCAGGGTCTAAAATCTGAACTTCCGGGAGCAGACACCATGTAGTCCTTACCGTCCTGTTCTCTGAGTAACTCTGGAAGAATCATTCATCTTTCCTGGACCTCAGCCTCCACACACACACACACACACACACTGTCCAGCCAACAGACATTTGTACATATTCTGCCCTCCAGCAGAGGTCCTGGTGGAGCCATAGAAGGTTGGTGGTGTAAACCCACCCAGCGGCTCTGAGAAAACGCTGGTGATTGGTTCACATCAAAATAACCACTAGGAAACTGTCACAATTGTAAAGGTAGAAGTTCTGTAACAAAAACAGGGGAGTGGTTAATACTACAGTCCAGAAATAGAGGACCCTAGGACCATCAAGGGAGAAGAGCACAAGCAGAATGCAGGACCCTATCCAGAGAAGCGCTGTGGGCTAATGCGTCAGACTGCAAAGTCGTTTGAACTGCAAGGTCAGTGGTTCAAACTCATCAGCTGCTCCTTGGAAACCCTATACAGGGTCGCTATGGGTCAGAATCAACTCGACGGCATTTAACAACAACACCAGAGACAAAGGCAGAGATGGAGTCATGGAGAGAGGGAGCAGCTGCGGACTCTAGATTCATGGGAAGAGAGGGACTGAGAGCTGGTGGCCAGGAGGCAGCCTTGCAGAACGTGCCCTTTGGAGATGTAAATTATTATATATGGCTGAGTGTTTTGTTTTGTTTTTTAAAAAAAGCTAAAGTGAATAGAGAAAAATACTGTTAACTGATGGCACATGGAGGGGATTATAATCATTGTAATGAAACAAGGTGTATGATTTGTTGAATGTAAAACCCATGATCTGCCCTGTAAACTGTCCCTCAATCCACAATAAAAAACCTTAAATGAAAAACAAAACAAATTAACTGCTATGAGTTGAACTCAACCCTATGGCACTCAACAACAACAACATACTCTGCACTCATCCACATCTCTCCCTCCAAACCCCAGGATCCAGGAAATGGGGTCCCATCATGTTCTCGCCATCTTTCTTGGGAACGAACTTGTGTCTCAGGGGTCCGTGTCTCTATCTTTTGTCTCGCTCTCATCCTGGACTGGCCAGGTTGTAGTTGGTTTTCATTTCTAGAACCTTCCACATACTATCATCATTTGTGATCTTCTGAGCTCAGGCTTCCTGACCCATCACTCAGAAGGGACAGTGCAGGTTCTGAAGGACCTTGTTTGTGAGCATTTAAGGCCACCATGCATAGCAACGTACTCGATGACAACTAACAACCACAAACCTTCATGAACGCACATATGCTTCTGGTTTGCAGTGGTTTATGTCCATGGGGTCAGGACTGAGTGGATCTCATTCTGGGTCCCAGCATCTAGCACAGGATGAGACGCAGGTTATAAGCTCAATAAAAGCTTGTGAATTGGAAACTGTGGGTCTTCACAGGAATTTATTATATATTCCTTTTAGGTTCAAAAATGAGTTTATACCCCTGAGACTATTATCCTGAGTTCATCCTTAAAATGGAAACCAAAACTCTCTCCTGAAGTTGTCTTACAACCAAACAAGGGTGTCTCCTTAATGGGATCAAATTGACAATGACATTTCGAAAGATCAGAATAGGAAATTCAGGGGTCAGTGAGCTCATGTTCACGGGGGGATGGGGGGAAAAAGGGGGGTCTCAGAGAAGCAGGATGAGAATGGTTGCACACTCAAAGAATGTAACGTTGTCATTGTACATGTAGAAACTGTTGAGTTGGTGCATGTATTGTTGTGTATATTCTCAACAACAATAAAATAGAGTAAATCGTAAAAAAAAAGAAAAAAGTAAGTTTGTTTAATGCGCACATGTTTGGGGTGATGAAAATGTTCCGGGACACAGTAGGGGTAATGGTTGTGCAACAATATAAATGTACCAAACGTCACCGAATTGCTCACCTTAAAATAGTTAGTTTAAAAATAAGCAAAGCTTTTTATTGTGAGTTGAATGAAGGTTCACTGAATAGATCATCAGTTTTACATTCAGCAAATAACATACTTTACTTCATTATACAATGACTGCAATCCCCTCCAGGTACCATCCCTTCACAGTATTGACCTCGATTCACTTTAACTCTTACACTCCTTGTTGTGTCTCCGGCTACCTTCATCTTTCCTCTGCTAACCTCCCTCTTGTATATTGCCTGCCCCATCACCCATGTTAACATGTGTCTACCCTCTAGTCATGAATGGTTCCCTCCACACACCATACCCTTCAGTAACCAGCAGAGAATGTCTCATCTAGCAAGAAAATCCTTCCTTAACTTATTACAACACTGGTCTCATGCAATATTTGTCCTTTTGTGATTGGTTAATATCATTCAGCATACTGTCCTCCAGGTTCATCCATGTTGCAAATTCCTTGTTATTTTTCAACGTTGTATGCTATTCTTTTGTGCGTATGGACCCACATTTGTTTTGCCATTCTTCTGTTGATGGGCATTTAGGCTGTCTCCATCTTTTTGTTCTTGTGACCAGTGTGCATCTAGCTAGTTGTGCCACGGCTTTTATTTCTTGAGGATAAACACCAAGGAGAGGGATTGCTGGGTCATATGGAATTTCCATTTCTAACTTTCTGAGAAAGCGCCATGCCGTTTTCCACAGTGGTTGTACCATTTCACAGTCCCCTTAACCGTGTAGAAGGGTCCCGGTTTCTCCACACCCTTGGCAGCATTTGCTCTTCTCTCTCTCTTTTTTTTTTAACTTTGCTATTAATGCTGGAGTAAGGTGATATCTCATTGCCGTTTTGATTTGCATCTCTCTAATGGCTGATGATCTCACGATCATTCCTTCATATGTTTGTTGGTCACCTGATTGTCTTCTTTGGTGAAGTGTCTGTTCATGTCCTCTGCCCATATTTTAATTGGATTATTTGTCTTTTCATTGAGACACTGAAGTGTTCTATAAGTTTTGAAGAGCAGTCCTTTGTTTGATCTGTCATTTCAAAACATTATTTTTTTTTCCCAGTCTGTGGGTTGTATTTTTATTCCTTTGGTGAAATCGTTTGATGCACATTAAGTGTCTAATTTTCAGAAGATCCCAGTGATCTATTTTGTCTTTTGAGTGTGTGTTTTCAGTTATGTTTGGTAGTGTGTTTATGTCATAAATCAGAGCTCCTAAATCTGTCCCTGTTTTGTCATTGATGATTTTTATAATTCTAGGGTTTACATTTAGGTCTTTAATCCACGTTGAGTTCACTTTTGTATGTGGTGTCAGATATAGGTCCCGTTTCATTTTCCTACAAATAGAGCTCCAATTTTGCCAGCACTTAAAATGATTACTTTTATGTCATGTGACTTTTACCCCCTCCCCCCCAAAATCATTAAATGTAATAGGGTATCATGGACTAGACCCTGGAATCAAAAAGATGTTTGTGGAGAAAAAAATGGATGAAACATGAATAACCTGACCTCTAATTAACAGCCAATGTCAGTTTCTAAGATGTTAATATTAAGTGGTGCTGGGTGAGGTGAGAGAAGATTGTTCTTCACTGTTTTTGCACCTTTTCTGTAAATTTGAAATTATTACCAAATAAAACATTAAAAATTGTTGTTGTTCATTATGAAGTGCTTAAGTTGGTTCCAACTCAGAGTGACACTGTGTAGGGTTTCTGAGGAGTGACTGGTGGGTTTGAACTGCCGACCCTGTGGTTTGCAGTCCAGTGCTGATCCCACAGAGCCATGCCAGGACTCCAAGTTTGAGTTAGGGTCACTGTTTTTGTGGCTGGTGATGGTGTGATTTTTAAAAGGAAAATGAGAATAAGTAGGTGACTTGACCCAAGTCATTGGATTCTACATGAAGAAACCGTTAGAAGAGCAACTGTCTTGTTGTATGAGGGGACTTTCCAAAGTTTGTGGGAAATGGAATAAATAGATAACGGAAGCCCCCCTTCTACGTGAGTGTATTTTCACCATAATAATGGGCACTCCATGGAAAGCCTGTACGGGGTTGTTAAGTCAGAACTGAGTTGACAGTACTTAACAAGAACAAATAATAAAAGTGTATTCCCATCTGTTCTCTCGGTCTAAAGCTAAGAGCAGGGTGTGGGCATCCCAGAGGAAGGAGCTAACTCCTCTGTGAAGTCCCAGTGAGTCAGCAGCAGCTGGATCACCTTGTTCTCCCCGCACAGAGCGCCAACAAAACCCTTCACTGTGGATTCCTACTCACCGCAGCCCCAAATGTTACTGGGTCCCATAGCGTTTAAATGGTGTGACATTGCGGGTTAATGCCCTGGACTTCAAGCTCCTCGGAGACCCTATACAGGGTCACTATGTGTTGGGACCGACTCCACGGCACTTAACAACAACAACAAATCTTTAGAGAACTGAACCCTGGGGACCTGATGACTTGAGAGCATTGGGCTGCTCACCAAACGGTCTGTAGTTTGAATTCACCAAGTACTCTTCAGGAGAGCGGTGAGACAGTCAGCTCCCGTACAATGGACAGTTTCTGAGCTCACATGGGGCAGTTCTACTGTGTCCTATAAGGTCACTATGAGTTGGAATCCAGTGGGTGGCAATGGCTTTTGTTTTTTTGGGTTTCATCTTTAAGGAAGCAGATTGTTATTAAGTGCCATCGAGTCTGTAGATAGCCAGGTCTTTATTCCTAGGTGCCACTGGGAATTTGAACTGCCAACCTCTAGGTTAGTTGTAAAGGAAACAGTTTATGCCATCCAGGGACCTGGGTGGACAGTTATTCTTGATATTTTGTTGTTATTTTATTTCTCCCTCAGACCCAAGAGTCCTGATTCTAGCTTCTCCCCATCCACTTTGAACTTTGCAAACACAGAACACAATCATGCTCTTCCTTCACCCCTCAGGGTCCCCCTCTCCCCAGTTGCTCCACCACCTGCTCCCACCCTGTCCAGTCCTGCCCTTCCGGATGGACATCTGAGGTCATCTCTCTCTCTCTGCATCATTCTGGAATCTCATTGTCTCATCCTTTCCCCAAACACAACCTCAGTGTCTACTGGACTTCATTCTCAGGACACTTGTGTTGGACCTGTCAGTGGGGCGTTGATGGGGACAGTTTAGAGAAATGAGTTTATTCACCAAAGGGACTGGCCTCCTGGGTCTGAGGGAGGAGGGGCTGGGGTCAGGATTCCTGGGTCTGAGGGAGGAGGGGTTGGGGGTCAGGACTTCTGGGTCTGAGGGAGTGGGAATGGGGTCCCTTGGGCTCTTGGGTCTGAGGGTGGAGGGGCTGCTCTGGGGTTGGGGGCATGTCCGTCCACAGCCAGTTCTGGGGGTCAGGACTCCTGGGTCTGAGGGAGGAGGGGCTGGGGGTCAGGACTTCTGGGTCTGAGGGAGTGGGAATGGGGTCCCTTGGGCTCTTGGGTCTGAGGGAGGAGGGGCTGCTCTGGGGTTGGGGGCATGTCCGTCCACAGCCAGTTCTGGGAGTCAACACACGATGTCGCTCTGTCCCCAGCAGGGGGGCAGAGGGGGCGTGGTCAGGGCGGGGCCTCAAGACCCCCTAGGTGGGGGCGGGTACTGCTTCTGGGCAGCCTCTACTAAGTGCCGGCCACTGCCCACAGCGGGCAGCAGAAGGGTCAGGAGATCTGGGAGAAGGTAAAGGCTGGAGGTCTGATCCGGGTCAGGAGGAGTGTCAGGGTGGACGGGCAGAGGCAGGCAGCACCTGGCTGAGGGAAAGGCTGTGCCTCTGGGAAGTGGGTTATACCTGAGGTTACAACGTGGTTGGGTGTCAGGAAAAAGGGACTCTGGGGTTCCTAACTTGTGTGAATGACAGACTCTGAGGTCCGGAGGGATGCTGGGGTGAGGGCCCGGACCTGGGTCT